TTGTAAAATGTATTATTTGAAACGTTTGAAAAACAAAAATTAACATTAAATCAACAATAGTCGGCTCTGAAAACAATTTATAACAAATGTTCGAAATGTCGTCCTTCCATTTCGACACCTTAAGCGAACGATTAATCGGACCCTTCTTTATTGACGGTGCATTAAATGGCGAAAAGTACCGGAATTTTCTAGAAAACGATCTGACGGACCTTTTGGAGGATGTACCACTAGCACGGCTCCAAAACATGTGGTACCAGCAAGATGGTTGTCCTGCACATTATTCGGCAATTGCTCGAGAGGTGTTGGATCGGGAGTTCAATGGCCGGTGCACCGCGGTGGATCGGTAGACGTGGTCCAGTAATTTGGCCTGCTCGATCACCTGATCTTACGCCACCAGACTTCTTCCAGTGAAGTTACTTGAAAGAAAAAGTTTACGCTGCAATTCCTACAACTTGGGAGGACATGGTGGAGCGGATCAGGAACGCCTGTGCGGCGATACCGCCCGACATGTTGGCGCGTTGTGTGCCAGAATTCATTACCCGCATTCAAAAATGTGTGGAATGACGACATTTCGAACATTTGTTATAAATTGTTTTCATAGCCGACTATTGTTGTTAATTTTAATTTTTGTTTTTCAAACGTTTCAAATATTACATTTTACAAGGAAACTCATTTTTCTTAAATTTTGAATTACAGCGCCATCTGTTGATAAATTGAAAAAAGTTTTAAATAAAAGTTATTTATTTTTTTATGTACTACCAAACTCTGTGAAAAAATCGGGTCATTCCATTTGACTTTCAAAAGTTACCCCCCGTTTCACCCTTAAGGAGGGGTAGGGGGTGGCTAGCGGTAGCGCCAAATAATGTCCCCTTTAGTCACATTAACCTTTTATTTAAGACATTTTTCCGTGAAATGAGTATTTTTCGAGATATTGAGCTGTCTCAAGTTAAAAGAAACACCCTGTATAATATATTATCACAAGTTGTAAAGCATTCAATTACCTTTTGATTTATGTGTGTTGTCAGGTAAAACAAACATGCTTATGATCGCTAGCAGCAACAATTACTGCAAATGTTACTTTTTCGCAATTTTGTGGGAACAGGCAATGGTTAACATAGAGATCACATTGGTTCTAACAGGTGCCAAATTTAAATTGTGGCCAATATGATAGCCACTGCACATTATGAGTTCATTTATTTGTACTTTGGTCGAAGTTTGGGTTCTCTCTCATTTCTAAGTAAGCTGTAATGGATGTGGTTAACATAGAGACCATTAACCTATAAAGGGTTAATCCTAAAACCATTGAGTAAAATCAACGCTACTATACCTTTTCAACTTCAAATTGAGACTTGTCAGTTTCAAATTGAGACTAATCACATTCAGATTGGGATCAAACATATTCAAAATAAGAATAAACAAATTCAAAATTAAAATAGTCACTCTCAAAATAAGAATAAACATATTCAAATTGGATCTTAATAATCAAAATCAAAATAAGAATAAACACATTCAATTTGAAACCAAACAACGTCAAATTGAGACTTGTCAACACAGATTATACAACTTCAAATTGACAAAAAAGTTTATAGAGTAGATTGTAACAAGTTGACAGGATAATTGGTAATTGGTGTCAAACTGGTTATAATAAGCAAACAACCAAAAGTCGAGCCAAAAGTATATTTAATATGCCATATATTAAGGAAAAAGAAGCGAAACATATCCGTAAACAAATTTGTGCACTTTATAATAATAATGGCGACTGGACTTGCTATAGCATTATAATACTCTTGGTGTGAAGAAATCAACAGCATATCGATGGGTAAAGAACCAGGAAAACGAGAGACCACGTGGTGGAAGAAGGAAAGTCAAAATTTCTGAAGAACATCATAATTTTATTATTCAGCACGTAAATAAAATTTGAGGTACACCATCAAATCACTGTTTCAACTGAATGTTTAAGAAAGCATTTGGATGGCTTAATGTTTACTTTAAAAGATATTCGCAGGGAGCCCGAACGAACCAACAGTGAAGAAAATAAAAGGAAACGCCAGAAATATGTGCAACAACTTTTGAATTACCAAGCAGACAACATCCCAATTATATACATGGACGAAACGAATTTTAATTTATTTATTTCGCGTAGACAAGGGCGTTCTAAAAAAGGTACTCGGTGTAGCTATATTTCAGCAGGCTGCCGTGGGGCCAATATCCATCTAATGGGCTGCATAGGAATAATGGGCCTGATTCACCACGAAACAAGAAGAGGTGCCTTTAGAAGAGAAGAAGCCAATGAGTTTGTACGTCAGTGTCTGCGTGCTGCTCAAAACATAAACCAAACCAATGTGATGCTGGTAGTAGACAATGCTCCTTGTCATGCAGCTATTAAAGAAGTTTTTACAGAGAAGGAATTTGTGAATCATAATTTACTGAGGCTCGCTCCTTACAGTCCAATGTTTAATCCCATTGAGCTTGCCTGGTCGAGTTTTAAAGCAGCAGTTAAGCGGGACCTGGCTGAGCAACTTCCCCATATTTTGGCTGGTGAAGGCAGGGCAAATATGACTCAAAGTGAGTTTCGCCTTCAACAGAACATATTACAACTGAGAACATTAACATTATAAATATTAATTATTATTAATAATTGTGCCAGATTTGTTGCCCACGTACAAAGGTTTATCCCTGATGCAGTGCCGGTTTAACAGGGGTTTTTTGGGGACTATAGCACCGGGCGGTAAATATTTTTGGGGCGGTACCGCGTACCGCCCTAATTTAAAAAAAAATACTTAATCGTTAGAATTTAGAAAAAAAAATATTGCGACACTGCGTCGGCGGATACAACGGATACAAATGAGAAAAATGTTGTTAGAGTTGAAGCAGCTTCTCCATCAGAAAAACTTGATTTATTGCATGGAAACGGAATAACTTTAACTTTTTGGATAGACGTTTTGCAAAGGGTTAATAAAACCAATAATGCAGTCCAAAAACAAAATATGGATTTAAGCACAAATGCTCATCTTTTGTCATTTTTAGTTGAGAACTTTGATTTTTTACGTGATCATTTTGATCATTACGAGGAAATAAACAGGAAACGAAAATTATGCTCAGAAGCGGATAATCATAATAAAATTACAATTTGAAGAAAATAATTCAGAGGCAAATTTAAGCAAAAAAGAAACAATGCGAACAATATGTTTTATTTTAATAATTGACAATCTATAATCCGAAATCATTTGTCGATATGATAGCTAGAAATCTGGCACAAACAAATTTGAATTTTTGTTTAATCTAAAAGCATAAATCTTCGTGGAGGATTTGGATGAGTTTTTTCCTCAAAAATGTGTCCAACTCAAGAAACTGGTAACTTTCCTTTCGGAAATAAAAATAGAAACTTCATTGGAATTAGTATAAGTTTCATACGAAAATAAATTAATATCTTCATTTCCGAATATTAATATTTGTCTGCGAATTTTTTTTTTTATAATGGTTTCAAATGCAAGTGGTGAACGATCTTTCTCTACTCTAAAAAGGGTAAAGAACTACCTAAGAAATACAATTCCCCAAGAAAGATTTAACTCCTTAGCAATTTTGTCCATTTATCAAGACCTGCTAGATGAAATAAATGTAAAGTGTTATAAAACAATTTGCTACTATAAAGACTTGAAAACAACCTTTTAATTATTAGTATTAGGATTTCTCAATATTTATTTAAACCAAAGAATAATGTTTTATTTATTTATAACTTTTGATTAGTTTTTATTAGTTTAATGAAACAAAATATTAAACTTTTATTTTTTAATTAGTTTTTCTTAGTACTTAGTATTGTTTATATAAACCAAAGAATGTTTTAATTTTTAGTTAGTGCTTTTGATTAGTTTTTATAATTGGTTTATAAAGGCTCATTTTATATTTTATAGGATACTAAGTTTACCTAACCAACCTAATCTTCCACTTGACGTGAGAAAGTAAGACTTAAAAATTTAAAAATGTTTTTAAAAAAGTAATATTTTAAAGCATTGGGCGTTGTGTTTGTGCCAGAACCGGGCGGCGAACTAACTTAAACCGGCACTGCCCTGATGCGTTAAATTTAATTGATATGAATGTGTAGAACTTTATTATAAATAAATTAATATTTTTTAAATATATTTTGCTGATTTTAATACTTTTTATCAATTTGAAATTGACAAGTCTCAATTTGACGTTGTTTGGTTTCAAATTGAATGTGCACATGTTTATTCTTATTTTGATTTTGATTATTAAGATCCAATTTGAATATGTTTGATCCCAATCTGAATGTGATTAGTTTTAATTTGAAATTGACAAGTCTCAATTTGAAGTTGAAAAGGTATAGTAAAACCAAATAAATCTTGGAGAAAAATAAGTCCATTTTATTTTTAAGACTTTGCTTAATAATGTAATAATAAATAAAAAATGGACATTAAATGCTGATAATATTAACCCCCTGAAATATAGATTTTAATTTAATAAGTTTGGTTTTATTAACTTAAAATTTAAGTTTATAAAATATCTAAAAATTACGTGATATTTGTAAGATAATGGATTTCTTTATTTAATTTTGTCCGAGAGATTAAAAGGAAATAGGTAATCAGGTTTGTGAAATTTTGAAAGATAAAGTTTTCTATATTAAATTATTTGGGTATTTGGTTAGCCGCCGTCGCCGTGTAGGTGTCTCTGCGTGTGCCGGTGAGGGAAAAGGGCGGGGCGGTGAGAGGCAGGCGCGGCAAGGACGTCCCGACGAGCCGTTCATCCCGGTCGCAGTCGACGCTTTCCAGAGACAATGCGAATGCGCGCTCTTACGTTTCGACAGTGATGGTCAGCTGTGTTACGGGAGACGTCGAGAAATGCGCCTTAGGCATGTAACTCTGGCTTACAGAGATACCCTACGGCAGCATCATGTACGGTTTCGAGATCACATAGACCTGTAATATGCCTGTGCCCAGTGCGAGTTCACGGTGAAAATCTGGCGTGAACGGTGGATCGGAGACATGGCGTCGGTGGCGGGCTCGACAGATCACCCGCCCGCCGCACACGGCCACTGCTTCGGCAAGAAAACCTTTCACAAGCCCACCTATTGCCACCACTGCGGCGACATGCTATGGGGCCTCAGACAACAGGGCTTCACCTGCGAAGGTAACTACAACCCAACTCCTCCATCCTCCGCGGCGACCTTACAAATAGGTCACACCACCCTCTTCATCCTAAACAATCCATCCTTCCTTTCTTTTAATTAACCATTTTATCCAACACCAAAAATAGACTATTCTAAAAATAACCAACCCGCGCGCGATATCCACCTCAACATTTATTTTCCCCATTTTTTCCCTCCCACTATCATTAAAACAAAGGATTACGATCGTTACTTAAATATTTAAACGATACTAGGTCACACATTTCATTTTCAAACATGTTAACAACAAATTAAATTAAACAAACATCCTTTTATATTTTTGACCTAATTTCAACTCGATGCAACATTACCCACACTTTTAACAATTAATTTTCCTATTTATAACATCATACTTTATTTAATTATTGCGCTAAAATTAATTTCATGTTATTTAATAATTCAGCTCTGTTTAATACAAAATTGGATTAAAATAGCATAGGTACATCTATTTATAGAATCGCAAAATGAACTAAATTATCCTACTCGAAATAATTGTAAGCGTTAGTGTCAATTAAAAATAAACTAGAAAACCGTTGCCAATTAGGAACAGTATCCTTTTATCAAACCAAAAAAAAAACTTTATGCACCCTAACAAAAGAAAAATTATTTAATAATGCTTCTTTTTTATATTATATTATGTTTAGTTTTTATTCAATACTAGCTTCAACATGATTTTTTTTTTATAATAAAAAAAATAATTTCTTGTTGATTCGGGTTGGTTGATGTGGCAACATTGTGGCGTAGTTGGGAGCTTTTGCGCCACGGTTGTGCATCGATCTTTTCCAACGAATAATTTCGAAACACTCTGATTCCGAGACCGTGCTCGCTTTGACACTATGACGTCAGTTTTGTCACCTTCAAGTCATGTGTGTTTCAGGTGTCCCACATCCACGGTAGTAACACCGTCCACACTTTTAATTTTATTTTTTTTATAGTTCCTTGATTTAAAGACTGAATTATTTTTTACTACCAACAGGCAAATTGAATTTCTTTATGGGTCGATAGAAATAAAAGCGCTTTTATGGGTGGTTTATACTACTCTATAGGGTAGTATATATTTTTCTCCAACTTCTCACAGCTATTTATTTTACTAAAATAGCTAGACAAAATCAAAAACCCCAAAATAATATTTTAAAACACATTTAGTAAAAATCAACATTTTTTATTTTACTAATTTTTACAAATCTGATGTTTTTAAATGATTATAATATTATTATTATTATTATTTTCATTAATATTAATGGTATTATACAGCAACAGACTAAAGCCTCATTTATAGATTGCCTTTCTTTCTTCCTTCCTCCCGTAGAAGATGAACAATACGAAAATCGTAGTGCCATTTATAGATTCCCGTACAGCACAACGGTCTTTGTATTGTTCATCTTCTACGGGAGGAAGGAAGGAAGGTAGGCAATCTATAAATTAGGCTTAATGACGATTGACTAAACGTCAAATCTGGACCACAATAAAACGTAAAAATGACTTACATTAAATTTTCTAACTATTATCTGACCAGTTATTTCATACATCGTCATAAAAACGCCAATTTGTGGGCAACCTCTCTAAAAATGAATTAGTCAAAAATGACTAATTACTAAAGTTATTAGTGGCTGCTTTTTCACTTATACCATGGTATACCATGGGATACCACGGTATCCCCGACATAAATACTGTCAAAAATTATAAAGATTAGAGCAGTTTTTGAGATATAGTCAATTCCATATTATATGGAATATGGACTATATCTCAAAAACTGTTCTACTTTTATAACTTTTGATGACATTTTCGGATTATGCGGACAATTTTACATAAGAATTGGCTATTATGTCGGGGATACCGTAGTATTTCATGGTATACCATGGTATAAGTAAAAAAGCAGCCACTAGTAACTGTAATAATTAGTCATTTTTAGAGAGTCTGTAGCAGGTGGCATCCCATGCACGCATGCATTGAGCTGATAAAGTAAGGATCATAGATAAAAGACTGGTACGGATACCTTACTAAGGCAAAATTACTAGCCATGGAAATGCTTGACTTTCAGGCGCCTGGCTCGTCTGCTTGGAATTTTCTAAATCTCACGGATTGCGCCAACTCTATAGGCAATAATCACGTTTCATTTAAGTAGTCCACAAGGAAATTTAGCCATATACCGCACTTATTTTAAAACACACTTGATGTGTGACACAAAAATAGATTAAAGCAGCGATTTAAATTTTTGATATCCTATTAATAGGAGTAAAACAAAAATTATTTTTATTTTTTTCTATTTACAATTAGTAACAATACTTTTTGATATAAAAAAACAGAAACGGCGCCCATATAAGATTTTCCAGGGAGGGGGGAACGCCATTATTACACAGGCCGGCAAAATAAAAATGTTCTGTCAGTGTCAAGCATACATATTATGTATTTTTTATAAAGGTTTTAATTTAAAACACAAAAATACATAGTGTAATATTTTTTTTTAAATAGGACGAAATTAGCTTAACACTGACTGAATATTTTTATTTTGCCAGCCTGTGTAATAATGGTGTTTGCCCTATCGGGAAAATCTGTTGGGCGCCGTATCGCTTTTTTATTGCAAAAAATAATATTATTATTATTAAAGTTTGGTGAGGCGCATCTTTAAAAAACTCGAAAATATATTGTATTGCATTATTTTCAGAAAATAAGACAAAAATTAACCTTAATTTTTTCTATCAAAGTCACGTGGTGGGACCTTAATGTAATCAAATAAAAATTTTCAAAATGACACTTAAATCATCCAACCGCCCGTGTCAATATTGGTAGTTACGGTCATTTCTCCTGGAACGTGTACAACTCCTAAAAAAATCTGTTAAAAAGTAATTAATATATTAATTACTTTTTAACCTATAGGTTTATCATGTTTACCATTTCCTTGACATTAATTTTAGCAGTGACTTATGGGTATTTCCGCGAAACTTTACCCCACCTTGACAAAAAATCAGATGTAGGTATGTATTATTTAACAAAATAAAAACTATATCTGAAGTCAAATAGTTTAATTGCGACGTAATTTATAACCCCAAAATATTCGTACATTGTGATGCATTAAGAACAAACACGGAAGAGTTGCAATACTCGATAAAATGTTTAAATGTCGCACCCGTTACATTTTGAGAAAATTTTAGAAAATAAAGTATACAATATTTGTGCATTTAAAATACGTGCTTGTTAAAGGTTACTATTCAAGTTTTACACAAAAAATTATTACTATTCATCCAAAATTTTACAGTATCAACTTTAGAAGCCAACTTGGTCGCATTTGCCGATTTTCTAAGGTCGCGCCAGTTACGCAATTCATGACGTTATAAAAGGTTTTCTATACAAGTTTTGATTGACATTTTGTTTGAGTTTAATATCTAATTTTTTATACTATTTTTGTAGGTATATTAACCTATCTTGATATAGTATATGAACAAACACTTTATTATCATGAAAAAACTAAGTGTTAGTGTCTCATCCGTTACAATGGAGATACCCTTACGTTTTTTATACTTTTTTAGACATTTTGTCAAACAGTTTACTATTGTTTTAATTTAAAACTTGTATAAATACATATTTTAATTCACTATTTTTTACAGAATTTATTTAAGAAGTCGTACAATGGCGGACACGGAATTTTGAACGACTATCCCCTTTATGGACAACTAACCTTACTTACAGTTATTACTATAGTCTAGCCATTTTGATAGCAAAAGCAAAAATATTGTATCTTTGCTATTTACAGATTTATAAATAGACAACCAAATTGTGACGACTATTTCCCTCGTCTTAATTTAAACCAATCATAAACGCGCAATTTTGAATTACAAATGGTTTCTAGGTGAAAAAACTGAGTGACAGCACCTGTCAGCAGTTTATTCGAGTTTACCCGCGGCAAAACTTGACAGCTGTTGTCACCAAAAATTGCAATTTATATTTTAATTGTTAACTGTTACTCATGAAATAGTCTTGTCAAATACCATTCGGGCATCTAATTTTTCCTGTGAAAAAAATCGAAAAAACACAATGCCAAGTAATATTTTTTAACAAAATGCATTCGTGCAGGTGCAAAAATCCTCCTCTTCGACTCGGATTTTTGGTGCCACCAGCACTCATGCTTTTTGTTAAAATATTACTTAGCAACGTGTTTTTTCGATTCTTTTCGGAAAAATTAAATGCCCTTATGATATTACTTACGATTAAAATTCCGTGTCCGCCACTGTACAAACGTCAGGAGCGAAAATAACTGTAAATATAAATTTTGACACGCGCGGTTGTTTTAGGTGTTATTTTGGTAATACGTAAAACCTGTAATTTTTAAAAATCAAAATGAAAATCTGATTAAAATTGTTAGCTTGGCAGCACTTTTAAAATTGGCGATATTTAACTAAAAATAGTATATCATTTTACTAGAGATAATGCAGGCTATTATTCAGAAGGATGAGGATTGCGTCTCGAGTCATCAGGCGAGAGACGTAAATCATCCGAGTAAATAATGCGTATTATTTCGAGTGTAGTACTATGCTTTTTCTGCTCAAATTAAGTAATTTTCATTATTAACAAAATTTATTATAACCTCACTTTCTCCTCATTTTAAAGATCATTATGGTTGCCCTCGTATATACTTACTTTTTCACAATTTAAAACCCAATTGGTTCAAATAACAGTGATTATTTCCCTCATTATAACATGAACCAATCAAAAGCCTTGAATTTTCGAATAAATTTCGTTTAAATAAGCGATTAAATCACTAGAACTATTTAAAAGCGACTATTTCCCTCGTCCAAATTTCAACCAATCACAAACGCGCAATTTTGAATTACAAATGGTTTCTAGGTGAAAAAACTGTATGACAGCACCTGTCAGCAGTTTTTTCGAGTTTACCCGCGGCAAAACTTGACAGCTGTTGTCACAAAAAATTTCAATTTATATTTTCATTGTTAACTGTGACTCATGAAATAGTCTTGTCAAATACTATTCAGCATCTAATTTTTCCTGTGAAAAAAATCGAAAAAACACAATGCTACTTTTTCGATTTTTTTTCGGAAAAATTAGATG